TCTGGTCAGGAGTGCTTTATACATCATAAAGTACCCATTCTGGCCATCGTAATTTTGGATGGTCATTAAGTGACCAGTCATAAATTGGAAATTATCTGTATACTCCTTGTTCCCCTGCTCACTATCTTCCCACGTTGTCTTTCCTCTCTGGCAGGAATTGGTTATAGGTCTCCTGATTTGAAAGAGACACTGTTGGGGAGCACAATTCAAGAAGCAAACAGCTTTTACTTCTCTGTTCCCCAAAGAATGGCTAATGTCAAAGAGTCTAGGAGTTGAACCTGAGTTCCAGATAGGGGTTTTAAGACAGGGATGGACAATATACAACCTTCCAGAAATTGTTGAACTCTGATTTAGTCATCATGACTAATAATGAAAGTTGGGAACTGATATCCAGAGTAACAACTTGTCTACCCAGCTTTAAAGCAACACCTAATTCAAGCAACCTTGGAGGACTGATGAGAATTAGCATTTTCTACTCTATTATAACAGACATCAAAAGTGAACAAACTAATTGAACTAGTGATGATCCAGGCATCCCTTTCTACGAAAAGAATAACAAAAATAAATAAATTAGAAAAAGTTATTATATAAAGAGAGTGGTTCATACATTTATTCCACAATACTTCAATAATTGATTCTGTAAAACTAATGAAATGCTTTAATTAAATGACTTAGAATAGTATTCTTCATACCTCTTCCTTTGAAAGCTTTTTGTCACTATCCAGGTCTATTTGAGAAAATGTTTCAACACTTCGTGGTCCTTTAGTTACTGCATACAATTCAATTTCGAAGATCAGTGTTGCATTGGGTGGAATCTTTGCTAGTTCTAAGAATGTAACAGGAAAGTTATAGGAAATGCACATACTGATGTCTGACCATTTTAACCACAGACCACCATACATCTACAGCTCTTTAGCAATGTGGTACTGATGAATTGTACATCAAGGGAAGTGCTTTGTGGAACCACTTTGTGGAACCACTCAATCCTCCATCATCAAAGACACAATGCCAATGAACAGGACCCAGTGCACAGTCTTCATCCTGAAGCCTTTTGTAGTGCCAATGGAGGACAGTAAATGGCAGGATTGGATGCTTGGTGGTGCACTCACTGCTTTGACTATGACATGAGGTCTATGTCTGCACCAAATAGCACTGGCAAATCAGAAACTAACTTCATCCTTGTGGAGTTTTAGGAATATCGGAGACAGGTTTCAGCAAGAAAACATTAACATTTCAAGAAAGACAAAAGGACCTCAGAAAAGGAAGATGGACATCAAAATGGGATATGTAAGATTTAGCAGGTTCACAGAAATAAAACATGAATAACACTAACACTATTATTGAGGGAGTTTCCAGAATTAGATTCACAAGCCATGCACATGCAATTAGTCATTAGAGGAAGGAGCTAGTCCCCTTCTTCGTAGTGGGGGAACCCATTCAAAGTGTCTAAATTCAAAATGGCTTGGTTCCTTTTCTAGGGCTAGGAAACACTTTTGCCTGAAATGTAGCAGGCATTGCTTATACAACTAAGAGTTGTATAAAAGTTGGGTCACAGGGATTAGATTTGACATTCCGTAACCTGAGAATTTATTCTGGAGACCCTATATATAGCTCTGAAGACTAAAAATTAAAATATGTTCTTCATCATAAAGAGTTTTGAAATAAAAAGTCATGTGGAGAATTCACTGTGAATAAACAAGAAGAGAATAACACAATTCCCTTTATGTATAAAGGTAGATTGGCAAAAATTTCATGTGCATTTAGAAATAGCCACATCTTGTGACAATCTCACTAAAGACTGAATGCATAGATGCTTAAATTGTGAGTGCCATTTAGGCCTGTCACAGCTACACTGCTGCCCATTGAGCACTCTACAAATCTGAACCTTACCCACAATACATCAGGTTGGCCAATTATGAAAGAACACCAATATAAGCAACAAGTATTTGAGGTACTTGAACTGAACCTTTAGAGAGTTGTGCATGTGGGTCCTGCTATATACTAGTTGAGGACAATTTCACAAAATTGGGGGATTTCAATGATCATTATCTTGTCATTTTTTTAAAACCACATGCAGCAGCCACAATAAACTACTTATATTTCCCCTCCCTTCCATTTCAAGATTTAGTGGCAAAGCCTAATAAAAGAATTCAGTCACTAGCAAGTCCAAGAGCAATACATACCACAGGAATACCCTGGAAAGAAGCAAAAAGCCACATGCATTCTTGACATTCTTAACTAGGCCATCTTTGCCCAGCATGCAGGAGTATGCTCTGATAGAGAACAAGCAGATTGTAGGTTGGGGGGGGGGGAAATACTTCCTTCATTTGCTGCCTGAAAAAAGAATCATCATTAGTTTCCAACAATGCTCATGCGTTCTTACATAATATCTCTTGAAGGATCACAATGCAGTGACATGGCTATGGAAATTAAGTTATTACTGGTTTTAAGGGAGTGACTCTCAGTGGCCTCTCCAATTTAGAAGAAAATGTGCCCTAAGGACAGTTTATCTTCCTTTCTTTCTCCCCTTGTTATTTTAGGCTGCCAGGTCCTTTGGCTCATTCTGGGTAAATATATTGCACTCTGGGTCTTTTACATTTTGCAACCAATAACAATATTACTAAATAATATATATAACAATGTTAAATGACAATGCAAAGAACCTGAGAGTAAGCAGCCATTCCTCAGTGTCACTATCATTCCATAATTGCTGATGGATAAGTAACATTTACAGAAAAAAATGCTGATGAAAAAAAAGAGGAAAAGTTGTGTTACTGGTATGTAAAAATGATATGCTCTGGCATATCAATAATCTTCTTTGGTCTGAATGCCAAATGATGCAATAAAAAGGAAAGGAATTCATATTTAATCATATTTTACCATAGCCCTTTTCTCCATAGGCAAGTGAAGGAGGAATAATCACTTTTCGTTTCTCTCCGGGACACATATTCATCATTGCAATATCTAAGCCCTTAATGACTTGGCCAACACCAAGGACAAACCATTTTGGATGGCCATCGTTTTGTGTGCGACTGCAAAGAAAAGAAACGGTGTACTTTAAGGAATTAGCTCAACATATTAGCATAATATCATCAGTGCTACTTTTTACACGTGGACCCAATAATGCAAGAGGCTTTCCTGGTTCACTTGCATACTCAAAATCTCGTTACTGCTTTCACTTCATGTAACCTTCATGACAGATAGGCCTTAATTATTAAAAATCAACTTAAATCTCTGTTAATGGCAGAGATCCTCAGTATTACTGAGGTCACTTGAAGCAAATGAAGATACAATAAGATACTTTAGGAAGGATCCACCAATAGTTTCCCCAGTCTGATGAAAGTGCATCAAAAGCAGAAGAAAGGGATCTATCTATTCTAGCATATTTCATGTACATGCTTTTTGTAATTAAAGGCAAACATCTGCTGGTGATGCCAGTTGAAAACCATACTATTCCTAATCTATGGATTTGAGCAATTTAGCACCAAATCATATTAAGTCAAGAGAGTTGGCAATCTTTTGGCATACATAGTGCACAACTCAATCAAGGTTTTAGTGTTCCCCGGGCTTGTATGTTGGTTTACGGATGTTTCTAATAGGTAATGTAATTAATTTCTTTTAGGGGAGATTGTTAGGTGATGTACAAGATATGCATACAGGGCAATATAGCTTTTTATCAAAGTATGCTGAGAACATCTGCATCTTCCATTGATCAAGAAAGGATCAGTTACCATTTGAAGCTGCAGTACTTGGGGCATAAACCTTTGGAAAGCAGCTGAACTAAATATTACTACAACTGTCTTCGAGTACATCTATGCAACTGAGTAAGGAAACTTTGTGATAGTAACCAAACTGTGACACTGCCAGAAGATCAGCCAAAGCTGCATTTTATCATCTTAGATTCTAAAGGAAGCTGAGAGAGGTGAGAGTTCAAAAGAGAATGCACCACCACAAACTTACCTGCAATAAAACTTGGTCTTATTACTACCCACGAAACCATCGTAATGGGCATTGAGTAGATCGCCCTTTTTGCTCTTGGGCTCACAGACTTCGGGGACGTGCAAGATTTCTATCTGGACATCTTCTGCAGGGGGACCCTCTGCCTTCTGCCCGTAGGACGGAAGGAGGAGGAGAGCAAACGCCTGCAGCAGAAAGCAGAGTCCCGCGCGGAAAGCCATAGTTGCAAATCTGGTCGTCTGGCTGCGTGGCACTACAGTAGCATTGTTCGACGTCACGGGAGCCGAGAGGGGCACGGCCAAGGCTCCTCCTCCTACGCAAAGGCCCCTTCGCTGTTTTGCCCTGTTCCGGCGGGTACGTAAAAGGCGTAGGTGTGCCTTGCGCTTGTTTCTTTGCCCCCCCCCCGCCCCCGCCCCCTTTTTCTAGACTAGAGAAAGGGTGGGGCCTTTGGACTTTTTAGGCCGTTTTCTCGTTCATTTAAAGCGAGGGAGGGCGGTTTATTACACCTGGATAGGATGAGACGGGTTGTAGTCTCTTGCTGCCTCGTGAGTGCGATTTCTTTTTCCGCGGAGGCGGCGAAAGGTGAAGCACCGATCATACTTTGGGAGAGTTGCCTCTTAGCCTTCTCTTCCCCCACCCCACTGTTTTCTTGAACGGCTTTATTTATACCATAAGGTGAGCAGGCAGATTTATTGCCAAATTATGCAATAAAAATATGTTCATATTTAGTCATATTTTACCATAGCCCTGTTTTCCATAGGCAAGTGAAGAAGGAATAATCACTTTTTGTTTCCCTCCAGGACACCTGTTCCAAAGGTGCTTTTTCAAAAGGCAAAGTGGACTTCCTGGATTTTCTTTGAAGACGTCTCGCTTCTCAGAAGCTTCTTCAACTCTGAGCTTCGTCTTCAAAGAAAACCCAGAGAGCCCACTTTGCCTCTTAAAAAAGCACCGCTGGGACAACCATGACCGGGATGGCTGCGAATCTCCATAGACACTCCAGGATACATATATTCAGCATTGCAATATCTAATGACTCCGCCAACACCAAGGACAAGCCATTTCGAATGGCCATCGTTTTGTGTGTGCGACTGCAAACAAGCAAACAAAAAAACCAGCACTATACGTTAAAGAAATTAGCTCAACCTATTAGCATAACATCAGCATCGATGCCTTCGGCCAACGATGCTATCCAGCAGGACTGGAAGTAGCAAGACTTATCCCATAGGGATGGTGGACAGTGTTCCTCCAGGAAAAGAGAATTAGATAGCAAAAGAAACAAATGCACTTAAAAGACTTCACATCGATACGTATAAGGTGGAAGCCCGGGTGTACATTGTGCCGAATCTCCCATCCTCGCTCCTGGAGGGGAAGAGTTGCAAATGGAAGGCGACGATATTCTTCGCAGTTCCGCAACGATGCGAGCATGCGTGTAGGGTCTCTTTTTCTCCCTACCAGCAACCTCTTCTTCCTGCATCCAGGAAGTACATGGGACGTCAGGGTCGATGGCACCAAACGCAGAGGTCCGGGAAAGGGGGAGGGAAAGGCGAAGGCGAGCGAGCGAGCGAGCGGACCGACCGAGGAGGCAGGCGAGCCGAGCCCCGGGGAGAGACGTCGTTCATTGTTTTGTTTCCTCAGAGACGGGCAATGAGTGACTTCAAAACCGCCTGGGCAGCCGCGTCTCTCACAGCAGCCTTGGGTCCCAAAGGCGGTGACGGCGGCGGCGGCGGAGGCTGCCTTTCGAACTAAGCCTCTCAGCCCTCCATGCCCATCGCGGATTCCGCCTCCTCCTCCTCCTCCTCCTCCTCCTCTTTCTGCTCGGTTGTCGCCGCCGGTGTTTTGGAAGGCTGCGGGGCGCGAGGAGGGCTGGCCTTGCCGGCGCCGCTCTCGAAGGAGGAGGCGGCCGAGCAGGATGGTGCGCCAGGCGCGGCGGCTCTTCTGAACGATGGAAGGCGTCTTGTACAAGTGGACGAATTACCTCACAGGTATAGATATCTAGGGAGGTTCTTCAAGTTTATCCAGGTCGAGGTTGTCCCGAAGGTGCGTTTTCTTCTTCTTCTTCTTCTTCTTCTTCTTCTTCTTCTTCTTCTTCTT